AAAATCTTTGTATTTTTCAACTTTTATAACGCCTAAATTACAGCCATAACAACCCAATTCTCTCACTTCCCCCACATCCCTCAAGGATACCCTAAATCCATCGCTCTTCCGTCCAGCATGCTCTTATAATTTTAAATCCGTCAATCGCGAACAAGGACCCGTGTTGCACAACCAATAACGAACAATAGAATGCATGTTCGTCGATGTAATCATTACCCCAAAACATGCATTCCCTTATCTGATTATTGGGCAATTTACAAAGGGTCAGCGGGTTCCCGGATCGGAGGATGTTACGAAAGGAATGACATGAGGATTGGGGCAAAGAGGATGACAAAAAATGATTTTTAAAACTTGCATTTGGAAAACTGACTTTGTCTGTAATATACAGTCAAACTAACGTGAAATGGATTACAAGGACCAAAAACGATTCTTTGAAGACAGAGTTTCTTCTACGGAGATTCAATTTGGCCCAAGATTTACACATGACACCTCTGGAAATGTTTGTTATAGGCAGGTTTCGCTGTAAAATTGCTCGCTGTGCAGAAGTTACACTGTATTGCTTTTTTCAGCGAACTTTTTAGGTAAGACCAGTCGAAATAAAGTATTTTTTGGCCTTTTCCGTCTTGTTGTACATAGATTTTTCCCCGCCAGTAAAATTTACCATAACTCTTAATATAATTTTTTACTCGAAATTTAATTTTCCACAAAAAATCAAAAAAAAATTCAAAAAATCCCGCCTAAATTCGCCAAAAATTTAGAATAATTCTCCAGAAATTTCAAAAATTACCACGAAATTCCGAAACAATAGGCTCCGACATGTGGCCTTCGAATTTCTGCGCCCCAAAGTCTGCACTCTGTCTGTAAACGTTTTGTAGAAACTTGGCCGTTTTTTTTGTTTCGAAAAAATGCCTTGGACCGGAAACTTGGCCAGAAGAATCGGGCGGTTCCCAGACCCTTAATGATCGAAAAAAAAGTTGATGAGAAAAAGATAAACAGGGGAAGAAAAGTGCGAGGGAATCCGAAGCACAGAAGGGGAAGGCGCTTTCCGATCATTTACAATTTTGATTGGGCCCTGAAGGAAGGGAGGAGATGGAATGTGGCCTCAAGGGAATTATGGAGAATCAGGGGAGAGCTGCAAATTTTTTGAGGCTGTGAAGATGCAATTGCAGTGGAATCTCTGCATAACAAACTACCGTAAAAGCATTGAAAAATTATTTTATAGAAGACCTGCTAGTCCGTTCGCAATGTTTATGGCGACATGTACTAGTCGCGGAAAAAGTCCTGGGAATTTCTCGCGCCCCCCAAATTCCGTCGCGCTCCGAAAAGTCGATGTGTCGCGGGAATCGCGCGCGACAATAAGCCAAAATCAACAAAAATGCACTGTGCAAATGCACTTTTCGGGTTCATGCACAGTGCAGAGTCGCAGAAAATTCCCAGGACTTTTTTCCGCGACTAGTATGAGAGAAAAAAGTTTTTTTTCGCACTTGGCATGGCTCCGGAGCGTGCTTTCCAAAATTTTCCGGCCTCGGCCAGACCGACCTTGCGGCCCGGCTCAGTTTGATTTTCAGGCCCGGTCCACGTCAATCCAGCGCATTTCCTGAACCATTTCGAAACTTCGTATCGTTTTCATTGGTTTAAAAGAGAGACGAAATGTCGCGAAATTATCGGCACTTTTTCTCGCCCGAAATAATTGTTTTTTCTCGAAAGGAAGAAGAAAGATAAGAAAATGCGTTTTATCGGGTACTGACATTTCGTTTTGAACGAATCACCAAAAAGGGGCGGGAAATTTTTTCTTCTATTTTGGATTGACGTGCGGCCCGGTTTTTTATTTTTTTTACTCAGGACTACCGAAAACAAGGGATGTCTAGTCTCCCATCAGAAAGAAGAAAATTGAACTCTATCGCGGAAACTACACTCCAGCAACCTTGCCGCCTGACTAGTCGCAGGCGTGATAAGGTTTTGAAGTTTCAAATTTTGATGACGTATCAAAAAGCCTAGTTTGGCGATCAACCGGAAGTCAAACTTTTTTGAAAGGTCTATCAGATCGGCTCGATGAGATTCAAATAGTCTAAAAACTATTTGAAAAGCGTCGTTTCAAACCAAATTCAGCTCACTGTAGCGACTTTACTCGTCAACTAGAACATAGCTGCAATCATCTATAAAAACAAATTTTTTCGTTGTGTTTAAGTGGTCATACAAAGCTTCAACCACTACATAACCATCTTTTCACTCTAAAATTTTACCTCATCTCCCCATCCCCTCATTTTTGCCTCGCTAAAATGACAAATCAAAATTCCAAAAAAAGCCGAGAGCTCGCCAAAAAGCCTCATTTACCGCAAAAAACTGAATTTTCTCGAATAAAAAATACAAAATTGTGGCCTTTGAGAGAACCGGAAGATCCGAGGAAAAAACGGCTCTTGTGAAATTACCAGTTCTCCATCCAGCGGTTTTTTTTTTTTTTTTGAAAGTTTGGCGCACTCTTCTTTTTGAGAGTTTTTTGAATCATCGCAGGGAAAAGTGACAGACAAATAAAAGAAAGTAGTATAAACAAAATTTGAATAAGTCATTGGTGGTGTTAACGGTAGTGTAAAGTCACGAAAAAGTCCTGCACTTTCTCTGATTTCTTTGCCATTTTTTGCAGACAATCTGGGAGTTTGGAAATGTTCTTTTTGGATAAGAAAATGACATGGCCAATCTTTGGTCGGATGGGATTTGGAAAACAAGATTTTTTGGGCAAATTTTACATTGCTTGGGTGACAAAATAGTAGTCAAAAACCGCTGAGAAGGCGAGAAAAATAATAAATTTGTTTTATCAAAATTGCATGTGTCATGAAACCGCCTGAGGCATTTTTCTTCAACTTATCATTTGAACTCGTATTTTACAACATCCAAAACCAAGCTCCATAATTTTTTTGTTATCAAAAAAGCTTTCTTCTCTTACTGTCTCTCTTCATTTCTCATGATCACTAGTCTGCAAAGATCGCTGAATATCTCGGCTTCGCCTGCAAATCGCAAAACAAAATTTTCAGAAATCATTAAGGTACCTATAAGAAACATGAGGATAAAATTTGAAGAAGATTGCTTTATCGTATCTTCAGAAATTTACTAGTGAAGAAAATCTCAAAGCCAGGCCAAAATCAAATCAAATCCTATATTTTTTACAAAAATCAAACATTTGTTTTCTATTACAAACACTTTCAATCGCTCATTCCAAAGCTGGGAATCCCTAGAAATCTCTCAAAAACATTTCAAAAAGAAAAACTCTTACTGTAATTTGAAAAAAATTTTAAATGAAATTTCAAAGAAAAGGCTCTGATCAAACTTGAAGCCGTTTTCTGACTCAAACACCTCGACTATTTACCGCGAAAATTCAACGCGAACTTGTAAAGTAACCTTTCCCCGATACAAAAAGCGAGCGCACCGTGCGTAGAAGGGGGCCCTTTGATTTCCTGGGAATTTGCATGGGAAACGTCCGCCAAAAAACAGAATGGCACAAATATTGGTTATAACGGAGACGTTTATTACCCGCCCGAATTAGATAATCGAATTGGAGGAGTGGTGCGGGGGCTACTTGGAGGCGTTCTGGGGGGCGATGATGAGGTCGGAATTCGGGTCATCAACTGGGATTGAGGGAGAATTTGAAGGGTCAGAAATAATGGAGGGGAAATTAAATTATGATTGGATTGGCAATGGGATTTTGGATGATAAAAAATTTGGATTACAGTAGCAATTTTTCGATTGAGGGGCTTTTTTTGGACAATGGTGGAATTTTTTTTTTTTTGATGAGACTTTTGGACACAATTGGGTCAAAATTTTAAAGCAAGGAAAGTTTTTTTTGGTAGGGCCTTCATAGTCGTCCAAAATTTTGCTTACATGGTCACATAAAAATCCCAAGGAGTCTTTGATCGCGTTTTCGAACAGCAACCGATTTTCCAACGATCCTTGAAGGCCAGAGATAACAGAAAATGAAGAGAGACAGGCAGAGAAGACAGCTTTTCAGTAACAAAAAACCTATGGATCTTGATTTTGGATGTTGTAAAATACAAGTGTTAAATAAAAAATAAAAAAATAACAACCTTTAGGAGAGAGCACGCAAAATGGAGAGAGGTGGCCACACAAAGCAATTTATTTTCTTGTAAAAAAATTATACAATATTTACACCGCTCCAAAAAGCAACTTTTTTCGGCAAGTTCCGATCCAAAAATCATCCAAATCTCATCAATTTCTGACGAATATCAAAAATCCTGCATTTATCTGCAAACATAATGTTTTAATGTTGAGTTGACTTCCACCCTTTTGCCCATATCAAACTTTTTCCTTACTAAAAACATTAAAATTGGGCCAAGTTTAACTGATCAAAATATACAACTTTCGCTCTTTTCGTATCATATTTTTCTTTTCAAATACGATCCTTTCCGGGCCGTGTTTCTCATTTTATTAAAACAAAAAAATTATCATTCCGTTGGATGCTTGTATTACAACCAAACAAATCCGAATTATCCGCAAATTCTAATCCAGATCAGATAAAACGGTCAAATGTTTCAGAGGACTTACGATTACAGCGTTTTGCGGTCAATTCATTTGTAAAAAAAACGAATATAAATTTTTTGCAAAGTGTTTTTTTACATGATGAAATTGTTTTTGAGATTTTGCAGAAGTAAAAAATTTTTTGGACGGATTTTTGGTAACAAAATTTTGAAAAAAAAAAGATTTTTTATTTGAAAAATTTATATAAAAAAGCTAAAAAATAAAAAAAAAAATATTTTGAAAAAAAAACGAAAAAAAATTTAAATTTATAAAAAAAATGTTTTTCTCTAAAAAATCGCCAAACAAAATCTCAAGAAAAGAAGTACATAACCCTTCTAATTTTTGTCACCAAAAAAAATTTATTCATTTTTTGGGAATTGCCGCTCAAAAGGTCATTCGGCAAATGGGAATAACAACGATTTTTTTTTATTTTACCTTGTCTTGACAAAATATCGAAATTAAAAAAAGTAATATTATTTCGACTTCTTTCGTATTTTAGGCTCGCTGTCCATTTGCTCTTTGATCAGACGTATCTGCTTCCGGGATAATCGATAAATCAAATGGGCCGAGATGATTAGCTAAAATAAGGTCAAAAAAAATTATTCTTTTGAATATAATATTTTTTTCAATTACACTTTGAGTTACTCACCTCAAAGATGTAAAAAGTCAAAGTGAACGAAAAAATCATCTTTTCCAAAGGCAACGGGCGGACATCCGGATAAAACAGGAAGAATACGTTGATCGGGATGTTAAAAAGGCTTGTAACTGCGCAATAACCGGACAACGGTGGTATCTAAACTTTAATACATGTAGAAAAAACATTAAAAAATTATTTTAAAATTCATTTGCTATCTGATTACCTAATTTTTACTTACTTTTTCACTCAAATTTCCGTAGTACCCCAGATATGGCCGAACACATTCAAGTATAATTAACACAATGTAAAAGGCAGCACAGACTATTTGAAGGATTACATGGAGATGATCATACTGCAAACAGTATATAGCAATGATTTATGAGGTATTTTAGACTTACCTTCATGTAGAAACAAGCGATTTGGGAAAAGATGATAAATGGACTCAAGTGTAAATGAAAATGGTTCAGCATTTGAAATGGCAATGAACTATCGACATCTGAATCCGAAAAATTAAATTTAGAGGTCATATATGACATGTTGGATTAAAATCTTCGATTATTTTTTTGGCAACTTTGGCGAGTTTCAAGATTATCTTGCTCATAAAGGTCAAAAAAATTAATTTACGTAAAAAACTTACGCTGATAGGGTTTATCCATGTAAAAAGTTTTAAGAAAATGAGCCTTTATGTCCTTTTTTTGTTGGCCAAGATCGTTTTGGTCATTTCTGCAGTATTTTAAGGATTTTTGTTGCTATAGCAACATTAAAATTTAACCTTCCATTTTTGTTATGTTTCTTGTTGCTGATTGGTCAAACGACTACAAAATTAAAATGAATTATAGCGTTGATAATGTCCTTATCAGTATGACTCTTTTTTCCACCGTATCAAGACATTTTTTCTAGTCCCGACACGCAAACAACTATTTTGGCATTCCGTTGCAAGCAAAAATATTTTTGCAGAAAATAATTTCTTGTGCTGGGATAAGGTTCTTCCTCCTTTTCGAGGCCTTATTAGTAGCATATCATCTGATTTTGAATGTAAAAACATGGCCAATACTTCTATCTTTTCAAAATCGCATGGAGAAGATTCAAGTGTTCGGGAAACGAATTTCGTCGCTTGTTTTAGCCATTCAAATGTGGCTGATGCTGATCACGTGAAGTTGGAAGAGCATGTAAATCGGCAGGGATGCAAAATCTTCACCATGGTTGATCCGGTAAGCAATTTTAATTGTTTCTTTGAATTTTAGGTTTTAATTTTGATCCTCATGGAGAATATCGGCTGATTCTTGCAAAATAAATTTGATCTTTTGACGAATTTGTATTTTCGACCTTGCCGAAGATGTATGCATGGTTATTGTATGAGATTTATTTCGATTTTTTGGTCAAAACGACGTTTTTCGATGGATTTTATATTATACTTGGAGCCTTTTCGAAAAAAATTCATCTTTTTTGTTTTCAGTCCGATAACCCGGTAAAAATCGTTGGAACAGAAGAAGGAGAGGATCAGAATTACGAATATGTGTTGGCATTTCACAACAGAGCCACAAAGGAGGTTGAAGTTCGACCAGTTTCTGTATTGCACTTCCAGCCAAAACAAAATGTTACAGAAGAGTTTTTGAAAGGCAAAAAGTAAGATATTTACGATTCGTTATATGTATAATGTTTTCTAAATCAATTTCATTTTTTTGAAGAGCGTAATTGCCTTGATTTTTAGGAAACGAGTTAAAGTTGACTTGAATCGGGATCGAAACACAGTGGATAAGAGTAATTGGAGGGAAAAGGCCAATGATCTGGTGATGGAGTTCGGAAATGCTAAGAGGAGGAAGATTCTTGAAGCTTCGTTGAGGAGAAAGGTCAACGACGATACTTTGGAGTCACTGGGGACATCAATGTTGGATGTCTCTAAAGCTGACATGAGCTTGGTGCGGGATGATGGGGATGGAAAATCAACTTTGAATTTGTCCATGTTGTCTACGGTATGTCTTATTTTTTATTTTCTGCCAGTTTAGACAATGTTTGTTAAAAATTTATATTGCTTTAGGTTGATGTCTAAAATAATATAATTTTTTTAGCCAGAATCCATGGTCTTACCAACAATGAATCGTGATGCCAAGAAGCCTGCAGAGGTTTACAGTCTAGATCAGTTCGTGAAACCCGATGATTTTCTTACTTTAGGCCCATCGGCCGCTGAATATTTGGGCGAGAATGACACATTGGAGAAGCTGCTTGACAATGGTAACTCAAATTTTTTTGGTATCATTTGTGTTTTTAGGGATATCCCAGTTTGTGGCTCAAAGCGTTCTGACAAATATCCGCGCTGACAAAAAGGTTTTCATCACGGCCATGAAGATTATCACTTGGAGTCGGATGTATAGGGTAAGATAAGATATAATTTGGATTATTTTAAACATCTAGATGTGTCTGCAGGGTATGATACAGATATTCAAGATTAATGGGATCTAATTTAGTCTCTAGATTTTAGTTTATAATAGTTTTTTTTTTTTTGATTTCAATATCAAGTACAATATAATATTATTTATGTTCCAGAAGCTCGCCGAGAAAGGCAACAGAGGAAGACTGAATACCGAGGGAATTGTCCTTCCTCCCCCTTATATTACCGACTTTGTGGCCGACTTTACTGAAGGCCAAGTGGGTCGACAAGCCGGGGTTTACAAGGTCTCACCGATCCTCAAACACAAGCTCGCCGCACATTTAATTTGCCTTCTATTATTGTTCTCCGAAGAGTATGTCCTGCCATTGGGCCCATTGAGAACCGAGATTGGGATATCGGAAGTGGAATCGAAGAAGATGTGCGAATCTTTGGGATGCTTGATTTCTCCAGCCACAGTCGAAGAAATGACGAAATACAGAACGACGAAGATGGCGAGGTTGATTGGACCAGGCGCTAACGGACAGGCAAATGGATTGAGGAAGAGAAGAGGGCGTTAGGACCTCGAAAAGCAACTGAAAAGCCATTATAACCGAATTTTTACCTACTACAATATAATTTACTTTTGAAAAAAGTTGAAAATGTAACCCAAATTGTGAAATTAGTGTAGAAATGAGGTTATAATGACATTTTTGGTGAGCCCATACCGCTTGGTGGAGCATACTGTTATATTGTTATTGCTCTTCTCAGGTATCTAATTGTTAATTTTTTTGTTACTCTTCTACATTTTTATGGGTTAATAAACAAGCTCAAGAACTTAGAAATTGTTTGTTTGAGTATTTGGAATAGAGGCCGTCGAATTCTGTAATCACCTACGGGTTTTAACGAAGTGTCAAAACGCCCAATCAATAGTGACATTTCGTGTACCACAAAAAATATTGGCCGCTCTGTTGAATTTTTTCGGAGGAGGATCAAAGTTTTCGTCCGCTTTATCACGTTTATTTTTAGCGTTGTTTTGCAAAGTTATTCTTACTTTATTTTCGCTTTCAGAGCCAAACTGGGTCCGTCCAACATCCGCAAGCCACGGCGGTGAAGAGAATGTACCGTTTTGGTCCTCTCACAACATCATTGAGGTAGGCTGAGTTTATGATTTAGATTTTCTTTTTTTAGGCAACTTGACCAAGTTTTTGACGAGTTCTGGATTTTTGATTCCTAGAAGAATATAATTTATTATTTTTGATGGAGAAAAGTTTGTGGAAAAGGTTTTTATTTGACAAAATTATATTGGTTAAAAAATTGTCTTGCTTAGAGAAACTATTGATGATTGATTTGATCGGTAATAGAATTAGTTATTTATTGGGGTTTTTTATGCCTAGTACAACAAATTTGTTATCCAGAAATTGTTGTTTATCCTCTGGTTTCTTTAGGCTAAGTCTGGTTCGACGTGCCGGAGTGAGCGCCGTTCCACAGTTTGTTCCATCCGATGGAAATGCACTCACTTTCCCCATCCAACGTTTCAATATTTACCAACCGAAGAGATTTGATGTAATTAAGGAAAGGAAACAGTTCCAAAGCCGGAGGATTCGCATACGACGACCTGAAGAGACGGAGGTCGAGGCAATTCAGCGATTGTGCGATCAGATTATCAATGACATGAATGAGGACAAATTTTTGTTCAACTTGACCGATCAGTAAGTGTTTATATATTTTTGTTTTGATTTTTAGGTACTTATCGAAAGATTTTGAAGTCGACTCGTGATAAATCAATTTCAGACAAGTCTCCAATCGAATGTGCACAATATCGCCAAAAGTTGCGGTGGATTTAGCAATAAATATGTTCGAAAAAGAGGGTCTCGAGAAGACGATCGAATTCTTAAACGGGTGCAAGAAACGGTTCACAATCAGGTCAAGTAAGTAGTCTAATATTTGTAGGACATTTTAATCTTAGATTTACTAGTACATATTTATATTGGAGACAGTTAATTCTGGAGATATTGAATTTTCTTTCCACTGACACCTAATGTAATATAATTTTTGTGATTTTGTGCCATTTTTTTGTTGTTCTTTCGTTTTGATGCTATATTTTTATTTTCAGAGGCAAAGCCGAGTATTGAAGTAATCCAGAAAGTCCGAGAATTATATCGAAGACTCTTTGAAACAGTAGAACTCTCGGACCCTATGACCCTTCAGCTCAGTGACGCCTTAATTCGAGCTGAGATTGTTCAAACACCGGACATTTTCCTCGAAGAATGCGTAAAACGGAATCTGGAAAAGTAAGTTACCCATTTTTTTGAGTGAATTCCGATTTTAGACACAATTTTGGAGTGGCGTTCGGGTCGTTTGCTTCAAAATCAGCTGCCGAACGGAGTGTTTCCGGCTGCAGTCATCTTTTTGACTTTATTTTGGCCGACGAACAGGACTTTCAATGCGTCCGAGAGCAGAGGATAAGTAAGTGTAATATAAATTTTGGCCCAAAAATTGTCTTACTCTTTCAGAAATGGTCGTAAACCATGTTCAAAGCCTGAAAACGCCGGCGTATGCCCTGGCTGAGCTTGTAACGGCCTCGCTGAAGATGAATAAGATGCAAGACGCCGAGATTTTGGTCAAATATTTTGTCGTGAAACCCCGGAATTTTGTCGAATGTGTCAAAAGACTCCGCGAAGAATGCGATTTGGTGACATTGGAACGGTTTGGAACACTCTTTGCCAAGTGTTATTATGAACAGTTGAGGTCGAAACCAAAAAAAGCGAAGAAATCGACAAAAATTGGGGAGAATTTAGAGAAATCAGATGTGGAAGTGGAAGAAGAAGTGACTCCGGAGGTCTTGGGACAATTTGAATTCCTGGTAAAGGAAGCTCAAGCCAAAAAACGAAGGAGAAAGTTCACTTTGGCCAAGAAGACGGTCAAAAAACACGAAATCGACCCAAAACAGCTGGATTTACTGACCAGAGTGTTTGTAAATGTATGGATTAACTCTGCAGGTAGGTTGGGAAAATCAGCTTTTGTAATGTGCAGTAAATTTTGGACGTTTTTGGTTAGTAATTTTTTGATTTTTTGGCAATTTTTGAGTTTGTTACCTAAAATTTTTTAAATTTGATTTTTTCAGTGGAAAAAGCCGATACGAATTCGCTGGCCACACTGTTCGAATGGGTATCCTATCACAATGTGGAACTACGAGAATTTCAATTCGATCGCCTCAGGGAATGCCATATCAAAGCCGGAATTCCAAATCCATTCAGCAAACTCCAGAAGAATTCAAATCAAATCTCGGAGAGGGCCCAATTGCAAGGACTCTTCTGAAACCACGAGAATAATATAGGACCTGTTTTTGGACTATTTGTGTAAAAAGTCTTACTGTAACATCTCAATTTCCCTCAATTTCCCTATGAAAATCCGGATTTTCTCGAATTTCCCGTGATTCCTCATGGTTATTGTAGAATATTAAACGAAATCAGTGTGTAAACGGTAGATAACACTGGAATCTACAGGCTGCTCAGCGATTTACCACGTGTAATTTCTACAGTAACCCAACTTAGGCTGTTTAAATTTTCCATTATTTTGTTTTCGTCTCTCTGCCGATCGTTTTCAATTGTTTTCTGTTCGAAAATCTCTCGGTTGATGGATCTAGATCTGTTTATACAGGGAATAAATTGATAAAATCATTTGGAGGGAGCTGTGAAATTTTTTGTTTTTTTTTGCGCATTGAAAGATGCTTTTTTGAGAACGATTTTTTTGCGGGTTTTGCGACAAGCAAAATTCAAGGTGCGCTGCGACCCCGCACAGTGCGAAAAGATCGTTTTGAAAAGAGGTAAACAACGCACAGTGCGCTCTTCATTCGCACCCCGCAAAATTTTTATCGCGCGACACCTTGTCGCAACACTAGGCATGGCTCCGAGCCGGGCTTTGCAAAATTTCCCGGGCCGACCCTGGGCTTTGATTTTGAGGCCCGGGCCGGCCCTAGACATGGCTCCCAGGCCGCGCCGAAGTAAATTTAAAACGGGCAGGGCCGGCGGAAAATTTGAAACTGGCCGGCCGGATCTCTTCAGGCCGACCAGCCGGGCCGAGATTTTCAGCCCGGGCCGGCCGACGAGCCATGTCTAGCCGGCTCGTTTTTTTTTTTTTTTTGAAATCTGAGTTTTGCCCAAAAAAAGGAAAACCTTTTTCGATAGGATTTTTCATTTTTTGGAACGCGATGCTGATATCGAACGTAAAGTGATCTTATTAGGTTGATTCATAATTATCCGGCGGTTTTATTGGCGCATTTTTTGTTAGTTAAAATTTGCGTTTTGTTAATGTTTTTTTATAAAAATAATCTTCTCTGGTTAGTTAATAAAATGGCAGTCGAAACCCATGCTCATATTTGCCACATTATGCTCTACCACTTCGAGAAAAGTTAGAAGTCAGCACAGTCATTTCGCGATCTCAACGAATTTTTCGGCGAAGAAAAAAAATCGGCAGGTGTTTCGCCCAAAGGAGTACCAAAAGACGTCCACTGTAAGAAGGCTACGTGGTATGTGTGGTGGGACAGAAGCGGAATCATCCACTGGGAAATCGTGTCTATTTTTTGTTCCTTCGCCGAAAAGTTCGTTGAGATCGCGGAATGACCGTGCTGACTTCCAACTTTTCTCGAAGTGGTAGAGCATAATACGGCGAATATGAGTATGGTTTTCGACGGTCATTTTATTAACTAACCAGAGAAGATTATTTTTATAAAAAAACATTAACAAAACGCAAATTTTAACTAACAAAAAATGCGCCAATAAAACCGCCGGATAATTATGAATCAACCTAATATTTGCCACTCGCCCAAACAAAGAAATAATTTTCAAGTCATTTTGAAATTTTTTTCAGAAATTCTTAAGTTCGACCTCATAGTTAATCCGCCGGAAAAAAGAAACCGGAAAAATTTTCAAAAATACGCAACAGCCCCGTAGCTTTTCAGATCCGATAAAAGCTCTGCAGCCCTGTCACCTAGTATAATATTTTGAGCTAATTTGTGATCGCATTCTGTTTGTCTCACCTCAAAGAAGCACATTTTTGGACGTCACACTTATACCACTTTTTATGTTAGTCAAAATTTAGAAATGAAAAAAAAATTGTGAGCAAACTTTTCCCACGCCCCTGACATGATTCCCATCATTTTGGCTGTGAGTTTGAAGATTTCAAAACACACCGATACTGTTCTGTTTAGAACTTTTTGTGTTCTTTTTCGACAACTCAACGAATTAACCCAACATTTTCGCACTGTTTCATTATTTACCTTGAATGTGAGTCACAAAAGTTTGGCCTATTTTTTGTGTCCTCAATACAAGTGAATTTAACGAGTAGTTTGAATTGAAAGGGATGCTTGGGGTGTTCGGATCGCCAAACATTGCTAACCCCACTGTTTAACGCGCCGTTAAACAAACAGTTTTTGGGTATAAAAGTGGGTTCAACTCGAGGACTTGATCCAGGATACAATTGTATTCGAAAATGGCCTCCCTAACCTTCTGTCTGTTCGCTCTGATTCTGGTCGCGTTTGTCGCCGAAACCACCGCTCAATACTACGGCGGCTACGGTGGCTATGGCGGCTACAGTGGCTACGGAAACTACGGAGGATACGGTGGGTACGGAAGAGGGTATGGGTATGGATATCCGTCGTATGGCTACAACTACGGGTACTACGGAAAGAGAGCCGCCGGATTCATGGAGAAATTGACCGCCAACCAACACTAACACCTCAACTCATCGTTTTGTTACAATCGTTTTTTTTTGGAGAGATAATAAATACGCAAATATGAACCGTTTCAAAATTTAGGAGTCGCGTCGGCAAGGGGAACGGGTGAAATCAGAACTGCAGAAAACTCGGTCGGAATGAAGCCTTTTCGGGACCCTCAGGCTTTCGTAAAATTTGACATACAGCTCTGAACCACCTCATAGTAACCTTTACGAGTTTGAGCTCCCACTTTGATATCTTAAGGTATCAAGGTCACAAAAAGGCATATATACATATATACAGGGTGTACCAAAAAAATGGAAACTTGTTTTTATAGCTATATTTTCTCGGAGAATCAAAATTCAGCAAAAGTAACGGTCATGATTGGTAACATAGAGCATTGTTTATAACATATTCAATCTGTTTCACAGTGGCTGCCTTTGGTGGTGATATAGAGCTCCAAACGTGACGTAAAATTTTGGGGTCCGGCCACAGCTTTTTATGGGGGAAATCGGTCCCGTTCTTGGCGCATCATTTACGTTGCGACTCCAAACTTTTGTGGAGCATAGTACCGGTGCTGGCCTTATATTTAAAAAAATATAGAGTCCATTGGATTCATATCTGGCGAGCAGGCGGCCATTTCGCAGGCGGGATAAAATCGGGAAAATCGGTCCCATTTCGGGTCCTGAGTCGATTTTGCCTTGTGAGCCGGCGCTGAGTCCTGTTGAAACGCCAAGTTTGCATTGCCAAGGTTCTGCTGAGCTCACGGAAGCACGACAAAATAGAAATTACCGCGGTGCTAGTATTTTGTCCCATTTATTCACGAAAACATGGAATTCTTGCCGCTGGCACAAATTCCGCCTTAAGCAATGACGACCCGGATTTTGGTGGTATTTGACGATGGCCAACAGGCTAGGAGCCTCATTGAAGCAGATTCTATCATTCTGGTGGTTGTGTATCCGCTAAATATTAAACCGCGAACTGAATGCGCTCACGTCTCGGAGCTGCGGCCCACCCCTTTGACGTTCCGACATTTTTGCGCTGTACGCACTTTCTCTCGACTTTAAAGATCTGAATTTTTTAGAGCTTGTATGGCATGAGGTTGAGCTCGCCTTTGACTATTCGGCCGAACGATCGGTCGCTGATGTCAGTCTCAAGGGCAAGTTTTTCTTGAAAATCGCGGATTTTGCTGTGGGGGACCTTTCGGTTGAAAGAAGCGCTGGCGGGGCGTTTTCTTTCACTTCCTGGGCGCTTACTCGTGGGCCGTAGGGGTTCCGGCCGGCCCGGCCCGTTTGAAATTTTCCGTCGGCCCGGCCCGGCCCGTTTCAAGCTTTCTTCGGCCCGGCCCGGGCCGGCCCGGGCCGGCCCGAATCTGCATGTGGAAAATTGTCTTCCCATATTTTGGGCCGTGGCTTTAAAAATTGCGACCAGTGACTCTTTATCAGTAAGCCCTCTCGGCCTTACTTTTTCATGCTTTACTACCCTCTTTCCTTTAACATAACAAGTAACATTTTATTTTGGGAAAGAAATTACCATAAACATTACCAAACAATAAAAATTGCATTGCCGCGTTCATGCATTCAGTCAAGACGACGACCAACCAATAATTTTGCAGTCAAATCCTTGTCTAATAAAGTCCTTTTCTCATCTACTAAGTTGCGAAGACAACTAAACATCCTTTCAACTTCAGAACTGGAAGCAGGGACACAAAAAACTCTTCTTGCGATACTTGCCAATTGCGGGAACCTGTCCTCATTGCCTTTCCAAAATTGCATAACGTTTATATCGGCATCCACATTGTAGTACTCAGCCAAGTATAGCCGTAACTCATCTTTTGCTTGTTCCTCGTCCTGGAAAAAGACTCTTGCATTGCCTTGTTGAGAGGTCATTGCGGCTTCTGGACTGGGCATTTTGGCAATCTCATTTCGAATATAACCTTCTGCCTGTAAGTTGTCGATATTTTTTGTATGTCTAACACTTACGGTAGTCACGTCTTCTTCTTTGAAGAGTGAAACTGGCTTTTGTGTCCCCGGTGCCAAGTACAACGCGGATCTCATTCGCTTGTAAAATGGGTGCAAAAGGCATGCCATATAATGTTGAGGTTGTAAGGCCCCCTCGAGGTCAATCTTTTGATGCAGGGTCTTCTTAAATATATTATAAAAAGCGTTCGCATTGCCATTCATTTGAGAAGAGGACAAACGAGCGTTCTAGGATTAAAACACGCTTGCGCTGAAAGAACAACATTGTTTAAGATAATACGATTAAAAACATCAATTGTTGAACAAAGAACTCCTTGACATCTTTGAACTTGCAATCGCGCACCAATTCAATCTTCCCTCTTATCTTCACATCCACAGAGATCTCCAGTCGATCGCCGCTGATGAAGCCTTGGATTCGAGGCCGGACTTCTTCTTGTGATGCGAATGGAATGATATCTCCATAAGAAAATGCACTGTAAAACAGGGTAAATAAGGCGAATTTCAGCATATTGAACAAGTTCTGATGCTGGATTTGACGATATCCACAATCTTGAGCCTCTATTTAAACAAACTTTATCGCCAACATTGTTAGGCGTTCCCGGACATTAGCTGCAATAACAAGTTTATTGTCATCATGTTACAGGCAATTTTTACAAGGAGATTATCAGAAACCGGAACCAAACTTAATTGAATGTTGCGATAATTATTTTTGTTTTCCGGTACGAGACAAAGAACACGATAAGAGAAGCAAAAAATCGCTGGTTACAGTAGGACAACTTATTGCAGGAATGGCAAACTGACCTCTTTTTCAAAAATTTCATGCCTGACCTATTATTTTCTTCGCTGCAAGTGTGAAGTTAGGGTAAAAAATGAATAAGATTTTTGAAATCAGCGCCATCGAAAACCCCTAAATCGAGTATTTGTGAAAAAAAATCAAAAAATTACTACTTTACTACTTATGAAACAAAGTAACTATCAAAAAAACGAATGTCATTTTCAAAGTGAGCGCCTTTGATTATCCTAATTTCAACATTTTCATCGAGGAAAGATAATAATTTTTGGTTCCCCAATCGTCCAACTCCGGTTTGTGATGCTACCACCTTGCTGCAAAATGTGTAGAGCGGTCACAGGAAAGAAATTTTTTTATTTGTATCATTTTCCACCTTTCATTTTTTTCATGCATAAACTCGCTAAAAGTGAAAAATTTTTGCAAATTTCTTGGAGAAGGTCTATAATATTTGTTTTTGAAAAGCGCAAGCCAAACCTTGCAAACGTCATCAAAAATTCTAATGCCTAAAGTTTTATCCAACTCTGAGCGCGCAGTTTCAGCGCCGTTGCTGTCAGTGGTCTTAGCAGAACCGGAAAGTCGTCAAAACGTTTATTTTAAATTTGCGCCAGGTTTTATTCCGAACTCTGAGCCTACTGTTAGCAAAGTTGACATTTTTGTTTTTTTTTCAAGCTTATTTTCGCTGCCATATTGATTGCCTTGACCAAGAGTTCAGATCATTAAAAAAGGAACAGTTCCGGTTCTCAAATAAGTCATCATTGCTTATCGCGAGAACAAAGAACCACTTATCTTTTTTCCCTCAACTTGTTGATTGCGAATGTTGCGATGTTCCCGGAACCGCCTCTCCTTAATAATCTCTAAACACTTACAGCGACAGCAACGAGGCGTGGCATTTTTCTGCGACAAACCTACATTATTTTCCCGACAGACTGATATACATGTATATACCTGAATCTTAAATTCATACCTTTTTCTAGCTTACTGTGGAAGTATTATACCCCAAGTGCGGCGCTCAGATTTTGATGAAACTCGGCACAAATTTAGAATATTTTTTTCAAAAATGTATGCGAAAATCCTAGCTCGCGCTTTGCAGAAACAACCGAGATTTTTAGATCGAAAGTTGGCCAAAATTTGACACTTTTTGCCGAATTTCGGCACAAAAAGTTGCATGCCTATTTCTACCATAGAGGGCAATGTTTCCACAAAAAATCAATTTTTTCCGCACGAAACTCAGAGGCGTTTGCAAAGCGCAAGCTAAAACTTTCAGGAATTGATACTTTGTTCATGACCGATGTGAAAATTTAAAGAAAATCTCAGCGTCGGACTTGGGGTACTTCCCTTTTTAGTGGAATGAAGCGGTCTCCAACAATAAACCTAGGGCCAAAGCAACGGGTTATTTGGCCCGGGACGACTACCAAAAATTTTCACTGTGCGTTTTTTCAAGGGTACTTCCCCTAGTAGAAGGCAATTTTTTTCACGAGAAATCAAATTTTGTGACGCGAAGCTGACAAAGATATAGTCAAAAAGCGTTTTCTCTCTGCCCACTCTCTACGCTTCGCATACTCTTTAGGCGACAAAGATCGTTTGAATTTCGGCTTTCCCTGGAAATTGCAAGCTAAAATTTTCAGAATTTACTGTGCGATCTACTACAGTACGTATAATATCACATATACATATACATCTTTTTGGCTATCAAATTTTATTCTCAAAACTCCCATTTTTATTGCTCATAAAACTTCTTTGTGCCTTGCCCCATAACAATATATACAAGTCGTTTCCTCGTTTCTGAGACCATACTCCCGCATAAAAATGATTGGGCTTTGATCGATTTGAGTGACATTGTGGTTTCGTCTTCGTGATCCCCTTTTTGACATGTCCTTTTCGATCGCTCTTTTTACAATTTCCTCTTCGTAAATTGTAAAAGAAAATAAAAAACTTGTCTCTTTTTTGAGATTGTAACCCCTCTTTGCAGGGGTAGTGTTCTTTTTTGACAATCTTTCGGGCTCTTTGTTCTGCGCCGGAAATTCGGACAACGCCAAATGACGGCGTTATAACGGAATGGCCGGCTTTCCCATTCCGGCCCCAAACCCGTTGGCATCTTTTTTGACATTTTTAGAGGTGTTTTTTAGATAATAGAGGGGTTGAGGCGCTGCGAAATGTAACGTGAGGAACATGTTAGAGCTGAAAATGTATTTTGCACTTTGTTTTTACTTCATTTTCTATTTATTTATTTATACGGGATTGTTTGAATTTTTTGGGAAATTGGTGACTAAAACAATATTTTGTGAATTTTTGAGATAATTTATTGTCCAAATATAATTTTGGCTGAATAGAAATACGTAATATTCTCTAGTTTATCGATTGTTTTTTACCGATTGGCTAACGGAATTTACAAATTATATTATTTTTCATCCGCTTTGTCTTATCCATTATGTGTGCCAAAAATAATATTTTTCATTTTTTGAAAAAAAAAATTTCGAAATACAAATATAAGGTAAAAGAAATGAACAAGGGCCCAATTCTACATCTGAAAGTTGGCTGAAAATTGTCGGTCGCAGCTCGGAAAACAAGCAGCCAAAAATTTGCATAACTGAGCTCGTAAAGACAAAAATAATTTTAAAACTTTTTTGATTATTTTTCTTTTGAGAAAGTCTGTCATTTGGTATCAAATGATTTCCACTTTTCCGATTTCATCATAAAATACGACCATTTTTCGAAATTTTTATATTATTCATGGTCAGCTGTTAACTCACTTAATTTCACCCACCTTTTAGCTCTGTGCTGTCCTAAACGGTCTTCTAGGCTGACGAGACGGAGTCCATTTGTATTTTCAAATACAATTTGTAACCATTTATACGATTCTTTGTATTCTTTTGGCCTGATATTTCACTCGGCACATCTTGATGCCCCATTTTTTGAGATTTTTGATTTTTTGTCCAGATTAAAGATTACTTTTCGATAATTTCGTATTGTAAATATCAGAAACAAGGTCTAATCCGTTATTCTACCTTTTTTGGAGATAATTACACCCCGATTACGCGCAAAAATTTCCAAATTTATCCGCTAAATCCACTTAATTTTCCCCCTCAACCTTCCATTTTTAATATTTCCTATGGCTTTTTTTTGATTATTCCGACTCACTTCTTATATGGATTAAGAAGCGAGCTGAAGAGGAGGGCCCCTCTTCGTCTCGGCGAATCCGTGGGCCCTCAGGTAAAGGAGGACCGACGATTTCCGGTTCCGGTCCTTTCTCCTCATCGCGGATGCCCTTAGGCGTTTTTACTGTTTTTTACATCCTCCACCGATTCGTTGCGGGGGGCAATGTTTTGCGGGCCACGTAGAGAGGGGCTGCAGTTGACAGCGGCCGATGAAAATATTTACAATTTTGGCGGGGTAAATAAAATTATTCGAGGTCATTATTTAATTAGTGGTTCTGGAATACCTGCAGACCCACGGCCTGCGAGAAAACTTGCTTTTCCGCTTCTATAAGGCTTGTATTTTTGGGAAATGGGCTATTTGAATTTTTGAAAAATGAAGGTCGGAGAAAATTTTATGATTTTATTGAAAAATCGTCTATTCTTTTCAGCTTGCAATATTGCAAAGGGTAGCCATCAGTTTTCCTCAAATTTTCTATATATATTTCTTGTAGATGATATAAAAAATCCTGAAAATTTTAGCCAACATTTTGCAGCCACAGCCGAGATATTCAACAATCTTTTCTGACGAGAGAGTATGCAAAATGAAGATAGCGGTTAGAGAAAAGATCTTTCAGGCCTTTATTTTCGTAAAAATTTTTTGGAAAAAATTGAATTTTAGCACCAAATTTTGAGCGAGAAATTTTATTTCAAAGCGATTTTTTGTCTTTGTGATACTTTTTGATACCAAAATTTGTTTTTTTCGGTAATTTTTCGTCTTTTTGTTTCCAAATTTATGATTTTTTTTTGTGTTACACATTGTTTGATATCCTGGCTCACTTTTTTATCGTATTTTCCACTGTTTTCCAGACATTTTTTCACACTACTACATGTCTTTAACCTTTCCGATCCGTCTCCCTGCTATTTATTTTCGCCTTTGACTCAGTAGATAAATGACATTAGCGTCATCTCCCTCACGCCGGATGATGTAATGGATCCCTCTTGCTGGGGCCACTTCTCCAACTCATTAAATACCCTGAGGGCAATTTTGGTTAGAGAAAAGGAGCGAAAAGTCAGAGCCCATCTTTGTCTTTGGCGATGCGTCGAATCAAATTAAGAGAGTCGAGGAAAGTGTCACCGTGCGGTGGCTTCAGGAAACGGCCATCGAAATGAAGAAAAAAGAGCGGCCGCAAGAAGAGAGGGCCGCCGAAATCTCGGGATTCGAATACCGGCCGCAGCGCCAAATTTAATGGCTATTTAGGGGAGGTGAATTGTCTTACAGTAATTTCAGAATATTTGGTTGGAATTTAGGGAAGAATGATAAGGTTTTAGTTGGTCGGAATTAGTGACATTTCTAGATTATTAGACGTATTTTAAAAAGAGAGTTAGCCCTCAAACTTTGATAAAGCTTGGCCAAAATTTAGTCTAGAATTTTTTGTAAAGAACATACGAGAATATTAGCTCATACTAAAAAGAATTTTTTTTTGTTAGAAAGTTGAAAAAATCAAGATTTTTTTTTAATTTTTTTTTCAATTTTCGGCTCTAAAAAGTAAGGCTTAATAACCATTATTAGTCTACCATGTTCAA